AGTTTATAATGAATTTTGGTAAGCAATAGCTTTTCTTTATATTAAATCATTTTATCAGAATTGAGCTTTATTTTCACTTGTCAAGTAATAACTATTTTGTCAGTAACTTTTTTTTTTTATACTGAGGCATTGCTCTCCTTTTTCATAGTTGCAGGAGAAAAACTATAAAAGGTTATCTTAGTAAATTTTTGGTTATGTTTCAATTTTTGAGTAATAGATCAATAGAAGTATAAATTTGAGACATTAAATAAAGCTACAAGCAATTTATTTTAATGTTTTTGTTGATATATTCACTTTTGTAATCTCTTAACAATGTCTTGTAGGTGAGTGAATAGCAATTACACTTATGTCTAGATAAGAAAATCCATGGTTCATTAATATTTTTCTATTTTTAGATAAAATTCTTATTCAAAATTAAATGTGCATTTCTTTGTTTTAAAGCTGAATTATGTAAACTTGGTAGTAATATTTTATATGTAAATTGCTAATTCAGGTGGTTTAAGTTTCATATTGTATGTAATATTGTAATATACTTTTATAGAGGAGTTTTTTTTGTAAAATATTCTAATAAATGTAAAATTCATTAAAATAGATTTTAGTTTAACACATAAATGCTTCTGTTAAATAAAGTATGATTTCTTTTTATAAAAGTTTATATTCATTTAAAAATTAAAATATTAAATTCTTGGAATTTTGCAGGCAAATCATGAACACCTTTTCCTTCAAGGAGAAGATAAACTCTATTTGAATATTGGAGATTCATTTTTTAGAGTCTCAAATCCCAGCTCAAATATTCCCAGTTCAAACTCATCTTCCCCAATTTCACATGTCTTAGTTGGCAACAAGCAGTGGCAAGTCATTCCTATTTCTCATAGCTACCTCTCTGCCAATTGGCCTATCAGGGTATGTGGTGTTTTATTTATTTATTTTTTATCAAAAAACAAAAAGCTCAATATAAATTTGAATGAGTAACAAAATAATTTTTTTAAAATTGTATACTTTATATGCTCTGAAAACACTAGTTGCATTATTTTGAGTTCAGTAATAACAAAATAACAGCCAATTTCATATTTTCTTTTTAATCTTAATGATAAAATATCACTTATTTTCATCACTAAAGGTTGCATGAGAAATTGATCTGATGTGGCAGATGTAGTTTATTTTTCACAAATGTAAAGATATTCTTTTGTGTGTACATTTATTATTAGTAATATAATTACACCAGATTTATAATTCATTAATATATTTTTGTTTTCAGAAATGTCCATGTATTAAATTAAGTCTGGTTGAGAAAAATTCATGAACTTAATTTTAGTTTTAGAAGTAGCACATAGATTTAAAATATTTGACTCACTCTGGGATAGGAATGTTTCCTTTAACCTTAAGTTAAATGTATGTGCTTAAAATATTTTATTTTGAGAAGTACAAAATCTTCAAAATTTAAGCCTTGTTTCAAGGAAATATTTTAAATGTCATTATGGCAGATGTTCAAAAAATCACAGATAATAATTGAAGAAAATGATTTTGAAGTCTTGCTATTTTTAATTTTTTTATTTTGCTGCAATAAACACATTTCTATTTAGATGTAATCCTTGGAAATAAATTTTGCTAAAAATTATGACGTTAACATATTTTACTTGTGTTAAAAAAAGTGAAAAAGTATCTAAAATGCATTTTAAGTATTATATGAATACTTCATCATTTGTTGACTGTAGTCGGGATCATTGAGCCAATGTGAACAATCCTTTCTTTAGCCAGGACTACATACAGTTTTGAATTCAGTTACTTTCTCCTAGACCAGTTGCTACCCAAGGCTATAGAAATCAGTCTGTCTTGCTATTTACCAATAGTTGGGTGGAGAAGGGTATTAGCATGTGAATGTAATGGATCCAAATCAAATTCAAACTCTGCTCTCCAATTCCTCAATCTGAGCTACTATCCATTACACCACTGTGCCTCCATATACCATGGAGAGTCTGGGTCTAATTATGGATTAACAGAAGTAGAAATTTTGAAGATGTTACATTCTGTCCCTTCTTTAAAGAATTTCTAACAAATTATTTGTGAAGCTCTACATTTAGTGAAATACATCTTTGTTGTAGAGTAAATAGTACACCCCCGGTGACTAGATGAACTAGTCCATTACTATAAAGATCTCAAGGTTGGAGGTAAAACTGGTCTTCAGACTAACTAATACAGGCATCAATGCAAGTAACTGAAGCATTACATCTAGAGAATTCTTATATGAAGTATGTTATATAAATATGAATGTATTATAACAATAGCCATAAAATAGTGATGATGAGGGATTCAAAACTCAGCATTTATAAACATTGTATCAAGGATTCAGAACTCTTACAATTTGTAACTGTTGTAACAAGGATCGGAAACTCATACGAGTTCTAACTGGAGTTACAAGAATTTCAACCATGTTAGTTTTAAAAAAAGAAAAAAACATTCTTGTGAATATGGAGAAAATTTTGGCTTCCATAGTTGAAATTCAACAACAGAAATGGCAAAATTTACAGTTGTTAGAACTACAAAAACAGTAGCATAAATTGTTGGATATAATTCTGAAGAAAACAAAAAATTCTTCAACATCGCTTATGCTTGATGCTATCCAAAACACCATATCAGAATTGATATACAATCTTGATGAGGCACTGACTTTTTCTGCATATTTTCATAGACATTCAGTCACGAATGCAATGGCTGGGAAGATGAAGCAAAAACGAGATTGTTGTTAAGGAAAATAACTCCGATAGAATATGAAAAATAATGCAGTTACATTTTACTGAGAAAACAAAATAACTCCAGATATGTTCAAAATATTAATTTTTGTGCAAAATTTAACAGCTAAAAGAGATACTGAAATACTAGAGAAAATTTTAACAAAAATTGAACAAAACAATAATATTACACTGCTAGAAATAGTGGATGATTCAGACAATGCTAAATCTGAAACACAATGCTGAAGAAATTCAGAAAAAAGAATGTGTGTTGGTACAAGCAAAGGACAAATGTACAAAAAGAATAAATCCTTGTTTCAGATCTGGTAAATTATATCTTGGAAAAGACTGTCCCTTTAAAAATGCAGAATATTATAAGTTGTGGAACCAACAAGGACATGTTCTAGAAAAAGAAAGCATATTTAAGTAGTGGATCTGAGGCAGAAACACTACAAAGTCAAATATGTTGGCGGACTCTCCAGAAAGAGGTGGAAATGCCGATACTATAAAAAATAAAATATTTATAAAAGTATTAATCTCAAAAGTGGGGATGTTTTGGAGTAAATAGTACACCCCCGGTGACTATATGAACTAGTCCATTACTATAAAGAGCTCCAGGTCAGAGGTAAGACTAGTAGCCATTTGGAGTCAGGCAGTTTGCTGCCAGGCTCACGACAGGCTTGTCAAACTCTGTTCCTTCAGACAGAGATGAACCCAGACGAAGATATGCCTAGAGGCAGATTCTCGTCTGGGGAGTTAGACAAACCTTACCCCATGTATGCTGGATCTAAGAGGAATTTTTGCCAGGGTCTATGAGCTCGGAATCCCCCCATTAAAAACCGTCCTTGTGCCACATCCTGCCTTATAGAGAGGTTTGTTAAATACTTAACTGTTTGGAGTCAGTCCTCAGACTAACTAATACAGGCATCATGGCAAGTAGCTATAGCATCATGTATAGAGAATACTTATATGAACTACATTACATAAGTATGAGTGTGTTATAACAATAACCAGAGAATAGTGGTGTTACAATAATCTTTTAAATGTATTTCAGATCAATGAAGTGAAAGAAAATGTTTATTATTTACTATTGTTTTGATTCTGAACATTCGAATTCCTGAATGGGACAAGTCATGGTAACCATCAAATAATCAAAGAATCATCTAGCAATTTGTTTTATGTTATGGAATATATTAATATCTTACTTTGCCCTTATTTTCTTATCCCAAAGTCACTGGAATTTTAGATATAGATTAAATGCTGTTTTCTATAATTGAAATTTATGATAAAATATCTTTTATAAACTTTAAATGATATTGTAATGTTGTTCATTTTTTTTAATTTGTTAAAAATGGCCACGATCATTTTGATAGAATCTGAAATTTTCTTTTCTTCTAATTATTAAATATTGTTTCAGTATGCAGCAGTTGACCGTTCTGGACAGTGCATTGTTGTTGCTGGTAAGACTGGTCTGGCTCATTATGCCTTTCGCAAATGGAAATTATTTGGAAATGAAACTCAGGTTTGTATATACATTTATCTAATTTTATCTATAACCCTAATGTGCATGTTCTGTATTTAAATGTTTGTAAAAAAAATAAATTTCACTTTTATTTTAAAGACATTTTTATGAGATTCAGTGTCACTCATAATTGTCCACTTTGTAGAAAATTACACAAGTCACAATTCTAATAACAAGAGAATTATATTCATTTCTAAATTATAATAAATTCTGAACACTGATTACACTTGCTAATGAAGCACAAAATTCAGCTGGAAAAATTTTAGAACCTGATTCCAAAATTACATTTTTGCATAATCTAATTTTTCCTGTGGAATTGTCTTCAATTCTTCTGAAGTTATAAAATAACATACTTTAAAATTATATTTTTGTTTAATAGAATTACTTATTTTAATTTACTAAAGTATCGTTAGATGATTAAGTTGTTTTAGTTATTGTTATGTGCCACAACAATTATTAATGTTTCAAAATTTCTATGGTAATATTACATAGAGAAATGATTAATTTTTAAAATCTTAGACACCTTTTTATTTTTAAATTTCCATCAGCTGGTCAAATCTATCAAGTCTTTCCTTATTCCAAGTTCGTTTATTCTATTAGTATTATTGAATGATTTAATCATATTTCAACTGATGCACACACTATTTGACAATTCTGTATTGATAACTGTTGGCAGTTCATTCAAATAAACAACTAGAAATGTATATGTATATAGGGAATATTTAAACCTATTAAACTTCCTTTTGTAGGAACGAGATCTGGTTGTCTCAGGTGGTCTCACATGGTGGAAAGATTTTATATGCTTAGCTTGTTATAATCTCCTTACTCGGAGAGATGAGGTAATATTTTCTTCATTATTCAATGTAGTAGTATATGTATGGGGGGGGGATAAATATTTGTACACCATGAATTTTTTTAATTAACATGGTTATAACTTATGAAAAAACTTAAAATCCATACAATATTTCTACACCATTGCATAATGCTGCAATATGCAAAAGACAATTAGAAAACTTTGTTATAAATGAAATTGGGTTATTTATAAAATTTTGAGACAAAAATGTATTCATACAAAATGTCTTTAATATCAAAAGACTTAAATTAGCTTTATTTACATAATTCTTTGTAAGATTTTGCTAGATTCTTCCAATTATCAATCAATCTAGAACATTCTGCAATTCATTTCTTATATAAGATTATCATACACAGTAATTATCATCATGGAGAAAGGCAAGGAACTATCAGATTCGTAAAAAGAATTGATCATCAAACATGCGAAAGAAAACAAAAAGCTATAGGAAAATAGCAGATATCCTGAATATACCATTTACTACTATTAGTTCTGTTATTGCTAAGTATATAAAGGTGAAAACTGTTGAGAACAAAGTGAGAGTTGGTGCACCACACAAGATTTCTCAGAGATCAATGAGAAGAATTTAGTGCAAAATTCAAGAAAATCCAATGACTGCTTGGAGAGAAATACAGGAAGAATTAAAAGCATCAGATATTATTGTTATGAAGCAAACAATAGGCAATAAATTTCACAGAAGTCAATTAAGATTGTGTTATCCAAAAAAAATTCCATTACTATTGAAGAAACATAGGTATGTCTGGTTAAAATTTGTTTGTGAACATAAGAATAAACCTGAATCATTTTAGGAAAGTGTTTTATCGACAGATGAAGCAAAAATTGAACTATCTGGGTGTAACTCATGTCTGGAGAAAAGATATCACAGCCTTTTCACTGAAGAACACAATCCCAACCATGAAATTTAGTGGTGGCAATATCATGGTTTGGGGATGTTTTTCTGCTAATGGTATGGGTAATTTAGAGATAATAAATGGTAGAATGAATTGAAAAATATACCAAGATATTTGTTTGGGTCAGTAGTAAAGCTTGGACTCTCAAATGAATGAGTTTTGCAACAAGATAATGACCCATAACATATGACTAAATCTACAAAAAAATAGCTTAATGAAAATAATGTCTATACACACAAATGGCCATCAGTCTCCAGACTTGAATCCAATAGAGAATTTGTGGCATTTATTAAAAATTCAAGTTAATAAAAGAGCTCTGAAAAACACCCTGGACCTAAAGAGAATATGCAAAGAAGAATGGAGTAAAAATTAACAGAAACTTGCAAATCATTGGTTAAAAGCTAAAGAAAGAGACTGATTGCTGTTGAATTGAGTAAGGAATATGCTACAAAGTATTAAATATGTATTATAATGTTGTGAATACTTTTTTCACCTAAATTTTTTAATTTCATATAATTTCATGAATATAACAAATTTTTTTGCATATTGCAGCAGTATGCCATGGTATACAAATATTTTACAAATTATAAAATTAGTTTATAAAATCTAACAATGTTAAATAATAAAAAAAAAAAATCATGGTGTATGAATATTTCTTTCTCTGCACTGTATATAACATTAATTTTGCTTACTTTAATTACACATGGCTTTCAGAAGCTTACCTGTTAGGTGAATGTTACTGATATTTTTTTTTCTAATGATACTTTTCATCAAATGTGAAGCAGTAGTATGAATGAAATTAGGTAAGTTTGATTGCACATTTGTAAAGAAAAAAAAGCAAAGTTTGTGAATATTATTGCTAATATGTATGAATTTTGAATGAAATTTGCTTTCTATCTTTTGTTGCTCTATGTAACTTCTCTTTACTGCTCCTCTTTACCCTTATGTGAAACCCATTCACCCAAATACATTAAGTAGGTTATTCACTGTTTCCACCCACTTCTCTTGCCTTCAATATATCCTGGAAGTATTAGATTCTCCAGGCCCCTTTGTTTTATGTATCGTGGAAATTTCAGCTACATCTTTCTGATTGTAACTATTAGTTTCTTTGTAGTTTTTATTTTCCTTATAACTTCCTTGATTTGTCCATGGTATTCTCGGCATTTGTTAGTAGAACCACACCTCTGTTGCTTTGGGTTTCTTCATCTTATGCTATTTCTATGGGATTTTGGATTTCTGTACCTGTTTAATTTTGACATTCCCAATACATTACTAACAACTTGGACTGTTTCTTTTCTGACAATATTCATTCTGTGTTCTTACAGTTAATAGTCCTTTCTTTTAGCTTTCCTTTTTTACTTTGTTGAAGAGTTCTTTAAATTTTCTTTTTGAGTCTGCCATCAATACTGTCATTTGCATAACTTATGTCCACCTATAATAAATCTTGGTAGTTTTAAGATTTCACTGTTTAGATTAAATAAATCTAGAGGGAAATGTATCCTTGTCTTATTCCTCTTTATATTTTTGTATATTCACCAAACTCACTCTCTATCCACATGCAGGTTATTCTTGGTATAGGTTATGGATTACTTGAATATCTTTACTGTGTAAATCAAGCTTTTCTGGTATTTCAAGTAGCCCTTAGTGTTATACCTTATCAAATTTGGCAAACATGGACCTTTGTGCCCGCAAAAAGATAATGGTGTTTCAAAAGAACAGATTTTCCATTGGCACCGCTATCATGTTCACTTTCTCGGCAATATCTATTTACAAGATTATAAAAAATTATTTATCTTTTTATAAAGATTTCTTTACTATTTTATAAAGAAATAAATGTGAAAAAATATTTTTATTCAAATTTTAAAATTATTTTCATACTTACTTTTTTTATAAATTGATAAATGATAAACATTGCATTGTATTAACTAGTTCATATTTTAAATATGTTGTAAATATAAAATTATTTTTGTAAATCTAATAAATAGTATATGGTATTTTTGTGGTATATTCTTAACAAAATATGTATAAATTCAATTTCATGTTTGGGTTTTATTAAAATTCTAATCATCGCTTACTGAGAAAGTGAAGATAGGGAAAATTGACAATTGATGTTTTAAAATTTATTGCATTGTAGATGGTTTGCATATTTTAATAAGTTTGTAAATCTTCACTATTTACATTATTTGGACTATTGTCCTTATCTCTGTCATCATATTTATTACAATGTTTCGGCTGTTGTACGCTCTGGCCTTCTTCAGGTGGTTGGAATGTCGAACTGAGCCCTTTATTTTGCTCACTGGGGTAGACTGTTCTAATTCCACATGCCATGTTTAATAGATGTCAGTTATCAGTTATCTCATGTTAATTCCCCTCTCCAAGTTCTCCACTGCCTTAACCGGGTATTGAACTTACAATCTTTGGGTCCTGTCATTGGATCTAACCAACACCTTTATTCACTGTGCCATGTGTACAATGACAGGACCCAAAGAGTGTGAATTCAATACCTGGTTAAGGCAGTGGAGAACTTGGAGAGGGGAATTAACAGGAGATAACTGACATCCATTAAACATGGCACGTGGAACTAGAACAGTCTACACTGGTTTTTGGCAGGCATGAAGGTCCATGTTTGTTTAAAATTCTTTTACGTAATCTGTTAAATATAAGTATAGGTCTGAATTTGCAAAGTCCTCCCTGATACCATTTTGATAAAACAAAATTTCTTGCTCCCATGTCTTGAACAAGCCCACACATATTTTTCTCTTCTATTTTTGGTTCAATTTTATTACAAGCTCTATTCATTTGAATTCTAAGTTCAGTTATGTGGCTCATCAAGCTGATGGAATTTACATTCATTTGCACTTTATCATTTCTTTGGTATCGCTATGAGGATAGATCTACTGACATCTTTTTGTATTGCACTGTTGTCATTTCATTTATCATTTTGTTAGTTTTATTGATTGTGGAATCATCTACTAAGGCTAACAGCATTTCTCTTACAATCTCATCTGGTTTTGCTGCTTTATTTTTGTTCATCTTGGTCAGTGCTAATCTTAACCTCAGATTTTAATACTACAAAAGTCCTTACATGTTTTTAATGGTTTTCAGCTTAAACTGCTAGACTATTGGCAAAGAATTTGGATGATGATGATAAACAAGATCATGTATGATAAGTAGAGAAATTTAATCTTAAAAGTTATGTAATTAATAAACAAAAATTTTAATTTAGCTTGATATGTAATTTTCAGAATTGTTTTATCAACAAATTTTTAATTATACTTAAGAAGAGAAACATCAAAAAAAAATTATCATGAGAATCTTTGACTAAATGCTATATAAAACCAATTTTAAGGCCATTGTATTGTGTTACTATCATAGGCTCATAATTTTACTAAAATTTAATTTGTACAGCAGATTTAATATTTGAAGAGAAGCATGATAAAATTAGATTCAGTTTATTGAAAAATAATTTTATTTATTGTATATTCATCAATCTAAATTTCTTAGTTCTTAATAAAATTCAAGAAAAAAATATATTTACACAATTGTTTCAATATTACATACTTTGGGCAGAGTGCACTCAGGGGCTACTCTATCAAAGGACAGAGTTGCAACTGAGGAAAATTATACTGAGTGGTGCCCACACCTGGGGAACAGCTGCCCAAGACTGTGCCCTCTCATGGGACCAGAGAGAGGGATCAGTGCTCGCACCGAGGTCAGCACAACTGACGGTTGCGGAGATTGGAAGCAATTTTTGTTTCTTGCCCAGGTGTATGCGCTCAGGTCCCCACCTTAAAAATGATCTTGTGTGACATCTCGTCTCAGTGTGTCTGCCTTTGGGCAGTGTGACTCAGTTGTGGCTGCAGACAGAGATGCAGCTGAGTTAAAAAAAAAAACAAAAAAAAAAAACATGAAATGCCCACCCCTGGTGAACAGCTACCCAAGGCTGCACCCTCTCATTGCACTAGAGAGGAGTATTGGTGGTCACCACTAAGGCCAGTGCACCCAACAATTGCAGGGGCTTGGGCAATTTTTGTATCTGGTCTGAATGTATACACTTGGGTTACCCACATTAAGCCTAACCTGGTTGCTTCCCATCTCGGTGAGGAGGCATGGGTTAATACCTGGACAGACTGACATGAAAAGAAATTTATTTATTTGTAAGATTATTATATAATATTTTACTAATATATTATTTATTACCATAGATTTTAGCACTTTTTTAGCAAAATTTAAATCTACAATATGTCTTACTTTTTTGACTTAAAACATTTATGGAGCAGTGGCAAATCAGAGCTGCTTCTATGTGTCATGTCCCTTCAGGATGTGTGCAATCATGGTTCTCCACAATTTTCTGTCCTTTGTATTTCTTAGTAAAATTTATTTATTTATTTTTTTTTTTGCTGTCTTTCTTAATCCATTAATATGGCTTTATGATTTGGCTAATACACATATGTATTAAGCAATTAGCATAAAAAATATGAAATTGTTTTTTTTGTTTGTTTTTTATAATAAAGATCACAATACAAAGGAATAATAATATTATCCTTTTAAGACTTTTGATAATACTAAAGTGGTTTTGTGTGGCAAAAAATTGAGTACAAAATAATTACTTTAGAAATTTAAATTAAAGTAATCTTATTGGCTAATCATTAAGAATCTACTTTATATCAAAGTCTAGATAGATATATCATATGAGTCATAAAGTTACCTTTATAACAAATTAATATATCAAACAATTTTATTGCTATTTTTAGATGAAAAGCTTGCACAATTACATAACTGGATAATTAAATTATCAGTTTGTCTTTATTTTTTCAGTTTTCATTTCTTTATATGTAATAAAAAAAATTTCTTTCTATTCATTGATCCCCTGAATTTTAATTTGCTTACTGTAATGAGTTCACTTATTGTTTCAGATTCGATGTTACCCGAGAGCAAGTAAACTGGATAATATGTTTGCCTGTGTCACCAAAGTGCCATCCCATGTCCTACTTCTTAATACCTTCAGAGACATTTTGATAGTCTTCTGTACAGATTGTCATATCATTATGTACAAACTGGAACGCAAGAACACAAACCCTTGTAAGTTATTAACTGTTTATGAAAAATTTGTCTAAATGTTTTTTATTATATCAACAATTTAAATTTTTCTCTTCTGAATCATTCAAATACAAAGGTCTTTTCTATCTTTGTATTATCACATTTGACTTAATCTCTGTCTTTTAATGGTATTCATTTCAGTGATTTTCTTTTATGTTAATATCATGTAAATGTATACATATGACTACAGCAGTAAATCTTGAGCATGAATTTTGCAATTTCATGACTTTGCTTATAACATTTTTCTCACTTGGAAATACAATTCTTGCATTAGTTAAAAAAAATGTTCCTATTTGTTAAGTGAAATCTTTTTTGCAATGTTTTTCGTGAAAGAAATTATATTCATTTTAATCAATTAGTTTGCTTATAACTGTTTCTTGAAAATCTAATTTAATGCCAAATGGCATGACTATATAAGTTATCTATGTGAAATTCATTATGTCATTGAATCTGTAGGATAAGCAGATTACATCTCTGAAGTAATATTCTCCAACTTAAGTATTTAGAGAATTTATATATATATATCTATATATATATAGCATATCTTCATTCAAACATGTTTCATTGAATTATAAAGACATATGTCTATTTTTATAATAATCCTTTCTAGTTCTCTAATCAGTTTCTTGATGTTAAGACAAAATTCATCAAGGTAGGTGCCATAGTTTTTTTCCTACCCAAGTACTTTTGGTCTCCTCAGGGATCATTCTCATACAGGGTGCGATAGGTAAATTGTCAACATTTTATATTTTTCACTTCAATTTTGTTGACTGCACAGTATAGTAGGGTCAGTTGGGCACCATTTGTAAGGCAAAGAGCATCATGACACAATTCACTCTGCTAGAAATTTGGAAATGGCATGCTGTACTGCTTGGCATTTATACAGGAAACTCCAATACAATATTTCAGATTGTCCTCAGATTGACACCCAAACAATGTGGAGGATTCGGAAAGAGTTGGATGTGTCTAATGGTGATTATGAAAGTATGCTAGCTTGGAAAATTCACTCTGATCATTTTGATAAGAAAAGAACTCTCAAATCTGTTGGTGAGGGCCTCAGACTCAACTCAGAGGCCTACATCAAGTAACTTGAAGAGGTAGTACTTTCCTGGGTCAAGAGGGTGGCTGCTGGAAGACTCTATGTCTGGCAACAAGACTCTGCACCATGCCACATTATGGCTGTCAGATAATTTCTGTGACTACATAACCTCTTACATTTGGCCACCTAACTCCCCAGACTGCAGCTCCCTTGATTATGATGTGTGGAGCACAGTTAGGCAAGATACCAACAAAATTCATTGTAACACCAAAGAGGAACTGAAGGCAAGGATTATGGCAGCATTCACCAACTTAAACAAGGAGATTGTCCAAAAGAGTTGCTCAAGGCCGTGGTTGAAGCCAATGGCGATTTTATTGAATAAATTTACGCTTTAGTATTTCAAGATATTTTTGTGTAATTACCAAATATTTACCAAAGGTAAATATGAGTGTTAAAATGAGATATCAGTGTTATTTTCAATTGTGTGTAATTTAGACGACAATTTATCCATCGCACATTGTGTGTGTTCCCTCATCAATAGTGAGCATCTTTCCCTCATAAATATACCAAATTTTAAACAATCTATTTGGATACACACATAGGAGTCTTAATGTTGTACCTGTGCAATGGTGTCTGCTGGTCATTGGTTGTAATGGAAAAGTCATCTTAGAAGAAGATATCTGTGACAATAAAATTGAGAATGTGTTTTCATTTGTATCTGAGAGGTGATTGTGCGCGATGGAATACCATATATAAAAATGTTTGTAATATGTTGATGCTCATTTGCTTATGATCACTCATTTATTTTATTAATTAAATTACTTATTTTGTGCAGACCCCACCTTGACCATGACCAAAGTACAAGAGAATTCTTTACAGAACTTCGTTCCTCATCCATTATTCGTCACTGGCATAACTCTTACTTCCCTTAGAGCCGAATCAGGTAAGATAATTTAAGCTTTTGTTATCAGTAGTTATTTCCCCTGATTTTATTAATTGCTAATCTTTTACTATACAGCATAATTCCATTCTTTTTTATTCAGTCGCGTGCTATCTACATATTGGTTAATTTTCTTTCATCGAGTAATAATACAAATGTTACTGAATTCCACTCATCACGTAAGTTATTCTTTTAAAAGTAGTTTGTTTATTATTCTGGTTAAGAACAAAAAAAGATTATGGACTCAGTTTTTTCCTTTTTTGTTTTTGATAGTTAATTTTTTTTTATCAGATTATTTTGAAATGAAAAAATTTTCATTTTTTTTGTGTATTTTTTTTTTGTATTTTTAATTCTGTATTTCTACAGTTAAAAATATTAAATTATTTTAATTTGGTATTTTTGAAAATTTTTGTTTTTCTTTGTAAAGTTACATGACAAATTACTTATAATTCTAGGAGTGACTTCTTTGAAATAGAGATGCATTTTGATAATTTGTTTTGCAACTCTTGTAAACATCTAAACTAACTTGTCTCAGATATTTCTCTCAGATTGAAAGGAAAGTTATTATGAAATTTTTTTTATTTTTAAATAATGTTTTCAAATTTTTTGGATATTACTAACATCTGTATCATTAAAATCAAAAATGTAGTTTTTTTACAGGGTTGGTAAAAATTCAAGATAACATTTATTCTCGTGTAGTTTCATTTTTATTAAATGAATCTAAAAGAATAGTTTTACTTGATATCTTTAAAAATTAATATTTTTGTCTCTTTTTTCTTAACATGGTTTAGTTTTTATATTAATTCTTGATCAAACTAGTTTGAAACAAAATGAATTTTAATTTTTGAACCTTAATGAATTTGAGTAAATGATTGGTAAAACAAGGACTGCAAATGCTGGTTCTAAAGGGGCAGTTATCAGAAGAACAAAGGACTAGAAGTTGTGAACAGTCATGTTTTGAAAGAACATGGCATATACAATCTAACAATATATAGTTATGTAAATTTGGAAAAGAAATAGTGTCTTTTAATACAGTTTGGTGTGAATTACTTTTTATTTATATATTAAAAATTATTTAAATGCCAGTGGAAACCACTATAGTTATTAGCATTAATGACTTGTTTATTTGTTTTGGACAGATATAGATGAATCCAGATATAATGGCTTTCATGATTTCTTTCAGACAGGATATTGTTTAAAGCAGGAGGCCATATACATAGTTACAGAAATTAATAACAAAAGAAAAATCTAAGCTTGTAACTACAAAAATCAATGTATTTTTTTTTATTATTACAGTTTCACTGTACAGTCATAACTATGGTATTGCATCAGTCTTTATTTCTGATATGGTAAATTTTGATTGAATGATATATCTTATCAATATATTTACTGAAGTAAATACTACTTTTCTCAGACATAAATATTTAATTGTTCTCCATGTCAAAGTGGTAATCAACGCTATATAATAGTTACCATTGTGCACTCATTTCATTTATATATTTCGTGTCATGCTCTATGTAATTAGATAGGACAAAATTGATAATGTTTATAATTCTTTCAATAATAAGGATTTTTTAAAATAAAGGGCTATAAAATGGGGCAGCAATGATACACTTTAAATTTTTGACTGAATATTCTATATAAGGCAAAGTATGTCATCAGGCCTATAATGCTTGTTCTATCATATTGCGACAATCACTTAGTAGACAAAGGTAGCTGAGTTTCTTGCAGAATGGCTTGAACAAATAAACCTGCAGTCTAGAATAAGGGATTTTCAGAGTAATTAAACAAAAGCTTCACAAGAAACGTAGTGATAAAGGAATTTACTAAACACTTCATCGGTATCTTCAGTTCAAGTTGTGATAATAACTTCTGTGATCTACAATGCATGGATTGAGACCACTAAGGAAATCTTTTTTTTTTTTTTTTATGTTATTACAAGAAATGTAGTAATAAAAAAAAACTAATTGTGTAAACACTTTAGTTGCAAATTCTGAAACTTCATTATGCAATATAATGAAATACATGTAACTTATGTTTATGCAATAAAAGTAATACAACAAAAATCTTTTTAAGAGATGTAATAATAAGGGATCATATTAATTCAATGGTTCATTGGCCTTTATTTTAGTTGTAAACTCTGCATCTACACTTTATTGAGTCATTCATTGTTTCAAAACATTTGTTACATTACATCTCAATAAACTCTTAAAATATTAAAATGAAATTAAAACTCTCTAACAACTGCTGTCATTTTTGACTGCATGGAGTACACTAGTAGTAGAATAATTATTGATGATGTCCTTTTTGTTGTTAAATTTATAGTTGTCTTAAAAAAAAAAAAAGTTTAAGTCTTTGTAATTAGCAAAGAAAAAATATCCAAAAAAAAATATTTACTGGTTGTTGGCAGTGAAAAAAAAAATATCAGCTACCATTATTATTGATTTAAGAACTTATTTGGCTAAGTGATAATATTACTATAAAAAGGTTGTTTTTGTTATGCATTTCTCTTGCACATAAATTTGGAAAAGTTACAACTAAGACAGATACAGAATTAATAGTAGCCAATTGGAGTTACTTAATGCCAAGAAACAAGATGTGTATAGCAGTTAAAATTAAGATAACTCCTTTTTATGTGGGAACACACCTATTCTATAGTTAATAGACTCTCCCAAATATATTAAGTGAATTATTTAGTAAAAAGACATCTTTGTTTCACAAGAGGTGGAAATGTTTGAATCTGATGAAAGATGACGAACAAGACTATATAACGTACGCAGCCAATATGAACAAGCATTGTGAAGAATTCAAGCTGGCAGTTAAGCGCAGACAATTTTAAGTGCTTGGTGTTTGTTCAAGGGCTGGTATCAGAAAGAGACGCAGAGTTGAGAAAATTAGTATTGGCTAAATTGGAAAGTGAGCTGAGTGTTACGGTACAGAAGTTGGCAGAAGACTGCACAGGATATGTTAGCGTAAAGAAAGATTCAAAAAATATAGAACAGTCTGGCGTTTCGCATGTAAGGAAAATACACTACAAAAAAGAGTCAGTCTACCAAAAAGAATTCTAAAATTGCGGATTATCAAGCAAAAAGTGAAATACCACAGAAAAATAAACAAAAACCCCCCGAAGCCATGTTTTGCTTGCAGTGAACTACACTGGTACAGATATTGCAATTTTAGGAATAAAAAATGTTTCAACTGTAAAAGATTGGGTCATTGTTACCGTCAAAATAAGTAATAAAAAAAATAAAAATGCAACTCGACATTGGTTCCGACCTATCTATCATAAATTTGCATACGTGGAAGAAGTTGGGGAAACCAACTGTAATGAAGACAAAGAAAATCGCGAGGTCAGTGATGGGAGAAAAAATACAATTTATTGGAGAATTTGTTACAAATGTCACGTTAAATAAAAAAACGCGAAAAGCTAAACTATTTGTCATAGAAAATACCACAAACTTACTTGGTACGAATTGGATAACAGAATTCCAATTATGGGATCTACAGATAAATTCTTTCTGTTACAAGGTAGAAAGTTTAAACTCCAAAGCCCAAAAATTAGTAAAGAAACTTAAGGAAACATTTCCTACTGTTTTTTTCTCCAGGTTTGGGAACGTGTACCAAGATGGAGGCAAAATTCCAGCTAAAAGAAAACACTCAGGCGGTATTCAAAAAGTAAAGGAATGTGCTGTTTGCCTCAATTGAACAGATAGATAAAGAATTCGACAGTTTTGAGAAAACCGGTGTATTTAAAAAAGTTGCGTGTAGCAAATGGGTACCACTGATGGTATACGTGGAAAAAAAAAAAAAAAACCCAAAAAAACGAATGTAAAGATGAAGCTGACACCGAGAAAAACTAGGGAGCAAGTTACCCACAGCCAAGGACATGCAGTATTATTAAATGATTTAAGTCAACTGAAGTCACCACAGAAAACGTTAAGGACAAGATCAACAAAAGGGAAGCTAGAGGCTGAACAAATAGAAACAAAAGAAGAATCTACAGAAACTGTGACACCATCCTTAAGAAGCTCAAAGTGGAAGGTTGTTTCTGGTAACACTATGGAGGTACCAAAAAATAGAAAAGCGGATTGGCAATATGATGTACTTGGTGAAAGGTGAAAAATTCACGTGCAGTAACCAGATCAGACGACGTTTTTCAGACATGGTTGATAGCGGTCCCGCAGAAGAAACGCCAATGGAGGTGATTTTTGATACGTTTGATGTAACAATTCCTGGAATGATTTTACCTGAGGTACACCAATCCAGGAGAAAAAGAAAGGCAACTGATCATTTAAAAGTGGATCCAAAACGTAAGAGATACGCTACGATGTTGCTAAAAAAATGAAGATTTTTTTTTGTTTTTTTTTCATCATATTTCCTGTAAAAAATAAAGAAAACTGCTTACTCCTACAGAGTAAAGTTTTAGGAGGTGGGGGTGTTATGTGGGAACACACCTATTCTATAGTTAATAGACTCTCCCGCCTATAATAAGTAGGAGTAGTAAGAGTAAGTCGACGTCAGACGACAGTTAGTCAAATACTAAAGTATCAACGACCACAACTAGATTACTCTGCATTATACCTATTATATCAAGTTCCTAACATTTTGTACGTTGAACCTATTTTAGGACCGACTTAGTACAAATACAAGCTTCCACTGTGAAATCACTCCACAACACTCCTTTTTTTTTTTCTCTTTTCTTGATTAAACTGAGACTACTAAATGTTTACTCTTTAGATAACACTTAAACAAGCACACATTGTGGGGAAAAATGTAAATGTTTACAATATAATGTGAATAAATAACGTGTTAGGTTCAGTTATAAATTTTTTGTTCATCAGCAGAGATGAATCCAAGTTAACTAATTATAATAACTTTCAATTAGCTTGTAAATGTAGAGTAAGAGATCTTATTGATAGCAGTATTTACTAAACTTGGAACAAAGACACAAGTGTGGCACACCTGGTGAGAATCTAACTTATAACATTGATAATTCTTTACAAGTCTAGCTTACTTC